ATAAAAGGAGGCAAGGAGGAAGAAGGAAGATATCTCGAAATAACTTATCTCTTAAACACTTGAAGGAAACACATCTTAGAGATATATCTTTTGTAATCTGTATACACCACTTGTATTCAGAAAAATATTAGATAGCTTGAAGATAGTAAAGCGTGTAATAAGGTAATCACTTATGGAGTTCTAAACTTCATAAGGTAAGTACCAAATGTATGTAAATATAGTTTGTAAGCATGTACAATTTCAGTTAATGAATATTAAAGTAAAGTTTGTTATGTTCAACAAAACTTTCATAAAAGGATTTCGTTAAGTTTCTCATGATTCCTCGGCAGTACAGATAGAGATTTTAAAAGATTTTAAAAATATTGATTTTGAATGGATGTTAGCCATGCCAAAGTACCCGTCTTTGAAGAATGGTTTAGGGGAAAAAAAGCAATTTTCTAACAAAATTGTAGCACCTTGTGTGTGAGTTATCTTTTAAAATTTCGTTCCAAATAGGAACTTGATTCTGAAAAGAGTTTGGATAGAGGTGAAAACAAAGACTCTGGATACTGTGAGATAGCATCTATGGAAACACGGCTAGTTCTCTAGAATGAGAAATGCAACCTTAATTGAAAAACCTTTTGCGGAAGCAGTTGTGGACCCAAATGAATTCAAAAACATTTTAAACCTTTACTTGATTCAGAAAATTGATTAAGTACATGCAAAACATCTATAAGAGCATATTGGAGGGAAAGCCTGTTTACTTCCACTTGATTACTGGAAGTTATCTACTTGTTTTTACATGCTTATGCTTTAATAATTCTGATGAACAATTCACAAACATCCACTTCCACTACTAATGATGATAATAATCTTATTTTATTTTTAGATGAAAAAGATATTTCATTTTTATTAAAATTAGATGAAACATCTGAAAATATATTTTCTGTTGGTAAAGAAAAAATTGAAGAAATATATAGAGATATAGATTATAATTGTAGAAATAATATAAGATTTGATTCTGTAAGAACTAGTAGAGAGATAAGAAAGGTAGAAGATATTATAACCAAACATAAAAATATATAAGAAGAAATTTCAGAAGGATTAGTTCGAGGATATATAACCAAGAAAGGTCAACCCATAATCTTTGAAGAACTATCAAGATACAAAGAATATTTAAAGGTTTTTGAAAGGTTGAAAAATATAGATATATGTCCTGATTGATAAATCCTTAAAGATATAAGATACATCTTGCAAATAACTATAGTAAGGGCAAAATAGTATTTTTAATAAAAGAGGCCATTGTGGAAAAAAGGAACAATTTTCGAGCCTTTCTAAAAATTACCCCGTGTAAATTATGTCTCACAATATCAAGTATCGTCCTACAAATTCTTTAAAAATATGAACGTTTTTTGATAGACTTGTACATAGAATTATGTAGCAGTAAAAATAAAACAAACTATCAAGCAAGAGTAAACTTTTAACTAAACTGACAAGATAGAAACGTGACGGGTTAAATGCTTTATTGGTCATCCAATTCGTCTTCTTTTTGGTGCAATCAATACACACATCTTATGTTATTGTTGTTTTGTAAAAATCATATGAATTAAAAGCATGTTTTTACAGGTCAATTATTCATTATTTTTTACGTAGAGATCAACATATTACGCTAATTAAACAGAAGTATGGATAAGTGGCCAAATTTGCAAGCAAATCTATGTTGAGTAAGTTGGTACTTCATCCACCCTACCACAGTTGAAATTGAAGTCAAAATCGGGCAATGGAGGTTGATTACAATCTTCCAACCCACAAATTAGAAGATCTTGAAAACCATTGAGAAAGTCATCATCAACTGGTATCCCGAAGTCACCTCCAACTGGTAGCGATTCAAGTTCCAAATCTAAGTCCATTTCTTCTACAAATTGCAGTAGCGACGAATCTGTCTGTTGATCCCCAATTAGCCTCGTTCTGCTTAGAAGCATTAACATTATGGATCTTCTAATTATCATCACACTTGCAACTGAAAGCAGAAGCTGAAGTCAAAGAATCCACTTCTAGAACTGAAGATGGAGACGTCTGTGAAGCCTGGGTTCCACTTGAATCATTAGAGAGACAAATGACACCATGATTTTGATTATGCTCACTAACCAGATTGAAAACAATCATGGTACCATTTATTTCTGCCATTACAATCTGAACTTTTCTCTGAAGACTCCACGCTATTAGCCTTAGCCAAAGACTCAAATTCCAGTTTTTTCATTTCATATGCTTTCAATGCTTCTTCAGCGGTATCATAAGTACCCGACCAAATCCTTCTTCCTTTATATGGACCACGAATTTCTGCAGCCCATTTGCCCCACTTCACGTTGATGAACACCTCTGCATTTCCCCGGAATGGAGCTCAAATTGCACGAATTTATGCCCAAAATCCTTTTTCTCTTGGGGGTTTTCGCAGCATTGTTGCTATCTATCAATTTTGTTATATATCTTATCCCATGTACTGCAAGCTTCATCCACTCTGCCCAATTTACAAAACCAGGATACAAGGAACTCGAACGTCAGTAGTATAAATAGCCACATCAAGCTTCATAGAAAGTTCAACAGTTCCAGCACTTCATAGAAAGTTCCAAATTGACTTATACTTTTATCCATTTACTAGATCATAAATTCCAAAACCTCTGCAAGTCTGCAACTTCCAATAACAATCATGTTTATTATTTTTACAATAATCACAAAATGACAACTTCCCACCCCCTGCAACAGCAAATAGAAACTAACATCAAGAAGATAATAAAATTCTAATATTGAAACTTTAACAAACAACCCAGAAAAGAAAACTAAAAATAAACATTCTCAACCAAAAATGCAAAGTCACTCAATACAAATGAAAGCAGAATACGAACTGATAGCTAAAATAAAAACAATATTGGGGATATTTCTTACCGAACCATTGAATCCAGTGTCTTCAAACATCCAACGCTGGTCGACGGGGAGCGAACGGTTTTATCTTGACAAGAAATTTTGGTAGTTCGATGGGCTCTAAGAACGGAAATTGACGGCTTGAATGTAGGGTCAAGTGAGAATCCGAGAAATGGGGACTTCTTCAAAGAAGACGAAAAGGGTTTCTGAGAGGATTCAATTAACAATAGTAAAGATGAAGCGGCGCATTGTACCGCCGTAGCCATTGAGAAGCTTCTCTTTCGCTCTATGTTTCTCCCTCTAATTCTGAAACTGAAGCAGCAATGAGCAAAGTGGAATAAAATAGCAGCAGACGGAGAGATTGAAGAAGAGGAATAGGAAAAAGAAAGAAGAGGAAGGGACCAAGTTTTCATTTTGCCTATGCATATAGGTTGGGAGAAATAGAAGAAGAGGCATTTCCCGTGTTTTGCCTCATTCACAAATATTTTTTTTTTTTTATTGTTTTCAAAAATTCTTTTTTCGATGATGGAAAAGAGAATGCGTTTTTACCATTTTGAAAAATCTAAAATTGAAAATGACCTGAAAACATTAAAGAGAGCAGGACCTAAGTCTCTTCACTGTATTCCTTAAACTATTCTTCATAACAACAATACAGGTGATTGAGTATGTTCATGAACTAATAATATTAAATATAGAATGTAGTAAGAAAACACATTGAGAGTGTTAATATCTCTTCACCTAATATATACATCACTTCACTCTATCGTCTCCCAACTTAACACTGTCGTAGTCCATTCAATTCTTCTACAACCCCAATTTGGTTAACACCAGAATTATTCATAATTAAAGGTTGTATTCACATTACACATATTGACTTAAATGTATTGAAAATGACATCAATTATTATTATTTTAACTGTACAACAATGTCCTAACATCAAATATATCAAGTCATAGCTACATTAAGGGCCCGTTTGGGATAGCTTTTGCTTATGCTTTTGACAAGTAGAAGAAGAGAAGCAGAAGTCCGAGCTTTTGAGTTAGCGTTTGGTAACTAATACATTTATGTAGTATCTTAGGAAATTTTGGCCTCATATCAGAGGACAATATATAATTGATCCATATTTCAATCGTCTTCTATCTATTTTACGACGTTAAGACAGCTATTGTTGAATTTCCTTTGATAATTCCTTTAACCGGGTCAAAACCCTACCCTTGATTTTTTGCATAATCACAAGAAGATCTCCACTCTATACTCAAAACTTGAAAAAAAAAAAAAATCAATCCATAATAATTTATATAAAACCATTTCAATATTAATTATTGAAAATCTTGAATTGTGTCAAATGGTAACTTACACTATTACAACCTTCAACTACCCATGAAAATTATAATTCGACATCATACTCGCCATCATGTTACTCATTACTACAATGTTATCAAGTTATCTCTTCATCATTGTATTGGCATCACTGGGAAATGTCATCGTTGTCGTGACTGTTATGTCTCAAAATCACCAAATTTTGGCCCTCGTTTGATAGCAATTTTCACCCAAAAAAATCAAATTTTGACATTTTTTTTATTATTCCAACCATTATTTTTTACTTATTCTCTCATAGGTGGGACCACTTTTCTCTCTAACAATTAAAAAATCAATTCTCATAATCACTATGGAACAGGGCCTTGGGTATTGAAGCAAACGACATCTTATCATTTGTTACTGTTTTCATGTTATTCGGATGTCAACACAATTTTCAACATATTATCACTTCACCCTCACCGTATCAACACTTGTGCCTAAATACTTATATGTTCAAATACAAACATATTATTTTCCAATAAATTAGACGAAACAATGAAAAATAATTTACTTATTAACTTTAAGCCCTTGTTTGACAAATATTTTTACAGCATCTTTTTTACTCAAACTCATTTTCAATCACACCTCATAATAATATTTTGTATGTAAGCTAAATTTTTTTTAATCATACATTTTTCATAAAATCATTAGTTCAAAAGTTATTGTTCCCAAAAAAAAGTTTTTTTAATATTTGTCAAACAGGGTATTGAAAAATAATAAAGTAATTTATGAACTCCTTAATAATGCAAATCATCAAAATTTCAACCAATGATAAGTGCAGACAAAAAGCGACTTATCAAGCTCCCAAACATACACTGTACTGCACAACCGTTCTTCAACGATCCCCACGCCATCCCTGCCATTTTCATCCCAATCCCAAGGTGCTTCTCTGCACCAAACCCCTATCCCTCTCCCTCTCCACACACATATATACAGATATATCTGTATCTATATGCATGGATCTGTCAACAGTTCAACTACAGGCTGCCATCGAACCTGAACCTACGGCCGCTGCCGATGTAGTTCATGCCGCCTCCCGTGACCACCCACCCTATACCGAGGTACTGTGAAGTGTAAACTAAGAAAATCCATAAGTTATTTTTCCATTTTGTGGAAGTTTATTTTGTGATTTTTTATTTTTAATTTTGGGCAGATGATAACGGCGGCGATAGCGGGTTTGAAGGAGAAGAACGGGTCGAGTAAAAGGGCTATAGCTAAGTTTATAGAAACTCAGTACACGAACCTGCCCCCAACTCACTCGACGTTGTTGACTCAGAATCTGAATCAGTTGAAAAACAATGGTCAGATTGTCATGGTCAAGCACTCTTACACGCTTCCGAGATCTGCTCCTGTGCCTGTGGCTGGCAACGGAGCTGTTACTGTCCCTTTTGATCTCAATTCTGTTGCGTCCAAAAGACGGCCTGGTCGCCCTCCTAAACCTAAGCCCGATAACGTTCAAAATGCTATACCTGTTTTTGTTCCCGTGGGCCAAAATTCCATGACCAATGCTCCGCTGAACCCACCGAATATGGCGGTTGGGCCGGGGGCTGTTTACGTTTCTGTTGGACCCGTTAATGGGGCTGCTCCTGCTGCTGGAGTTGGGGCAAAAAGAGGTCGCGGTCGTCCACCAAAGCAAGATGGGGCTAACCCTGGTGTGCCGAGGAGGGGGCGGGGTGGTCGTCCGAAGGTTGTTGGGGCTCAGCCAAGTAGTGTGGGGAGGCCTTATACAAGTTCAGCTGCAGGGAGAAAGGGGTCTGGGAGGCCACGAGGCAGGCCGCCAAAGTCTAAGGATGTGTTGGCAGGTGTAGCTCCACCTGCTCCTGCTGTCGGAATGTTAGATCCTGTTGCAGTTGGGCTTCCTTCTGGTGGTACATTGCCGGTGGCTGCTGATGGAGTCTCTCTGGCGAAGCGGCGTGGGCGACCACCAAAGGCTGGTGGTGAAACGACAAAGCCAAGAAAACCGCCTACCCGGGAGCCTAAGAAGCCCAGGAGGCCATCTGGAAAACCTGTGGGCCGGCCCAGAAAGGTAAAAATTCATGTTCGCTGCTTGATTGTGTGTAGGGAGTGTTGCATAAACTGTTTGAATTACATTATAATTTGTTATATCTTTCACACAGCTAATAGATAGGATTTTATTTTCATAGAACAGAGGTTTTAGCTTCTAAATAGTGGGGACAGGACTTATGAGTTTAATTTTTTACATAAAAGAAATGCTCAACTTAAAGAAGAAAAACAATGAAACTTGTGTTTAAAGATTTTACTATTAGATTACCTAATGGTAAAAAGAGGATGCACGTTGCACCAATTTCAGTATATTATCGAATTCTAAATATCAATACTATGGCTGTCATTATGCTTGGTGGTTGACTGGTGGCATATTGGAAGTTCTTCACCCATATTTTATCATTTTGACTCAAAGTTAGTTTTGGTGTATTTTAGAATATAATTACCTACATTTGCTTCCGGTTCTAGAAAATAATGAAGAGTAGGAATGAATATTATCCATGTTGTACTATGGATGTTTGACAAAATAGCATACTTAGTGTTCCCTTAATTAATGTAAATGAAGCTGGAAAATATTGAAAAAGAAGATGAATATGCCAAGAAAAAAGATTAAGAGATAATGATAGGTATATAAATTTGTGTAACAACTCACACTACCTTTTGATCAGCCAGTCAAATCAACAAAGAATGTCCCATACTTATCTAGAGTCAGCTATGTTTTGGTAAATTATTTCTATATAAAAATCAGGGGTTCTTTTGTAATCATCATTTGCATTTGCATTCCAATTTTATACTATATACTGCCTTTGGCTCCACCTGATAATGATGTGCAGTGATTAAGTTCTTAATTTTCAGATTTCTTTTGCAATGTTTAATTTTTTCCAATATTCTTGGCATTTTATTGATTAGTTTAGCTAACAGTCAATTTGTAATTCACGTCAATATGATTGTAGCAATTCTTATCTTTTCTCCAAGCACGTCTTCTTTGCATGGTATCAAAGCTTAATAGACTCCATTGAGTTTATTTCAATGGCTGAATCACAAACATCTAATGCCTCTGTTTCTGCTTTATCGTCAATCCCTTCAAAATTTCTCTCTCATCTATGTTACTGACATTGCTCAAGCCCTACTTAAAATTAACAATCTACACATATCATGGAGATTTCAAATTCATACTTTTCTTATTAGCTATTATCTCATAGGGTTCATTAATTGAACTTGTCTATGCCCATCTTCCACAATATCTAGCTGTGTGAGAACGTCAAACCATTTTTCCTGGATTATTAATAGTAAATCATTGCAAATATCTATATGCAAACAAAACAGTACTTAATTGTGGTTTTTATTTATATATATTTTTTCTTTATGTTATAATTCTGTGGATAGTTGGTCTCACAAGATAGGAAGCATTGGATGTAATATGGGTACGATCTTTTAGTTTAAATAAAGTCATTTCAGTCATGGAACTCACAATCTTGAGAATTGAATGATCTATTGCACCGACATGGAATGTAAGTTTAAAGTTTTACCCCAACCTGAGAAGATACTCTAATGAAAACTGTACTAGTTAAAGATTGTTCCGAACATGTTTTTGGCCTTTTTTGGTTGCATTGAAGCAAAATTTTAATGCCTTTTACTTTTGAACATTTATTTTATTTATTTACTTTTTGTATATTCTCTTTAGTATTTCTCATATTTGTTTTAGACTTGAGTTTTCTTGATCCTCTGGACCGTAATTTATCTGTTTTATCATGTTCTTTTGTGTAATCATCTTCAAATAATCATGGTTAAATACCAATAACATGTCTAATATTTAGCCACTTGAAGTTACCAATCGAGGATATACACTAAAATCTTATTCGTTTGAATGAAGTTTTTTGTTTCTATAGACAAAAATCCTCTAAATTTAGATTGCTCTTATGAAATAATGGACTAGACTTGATTATGAGAATGTTCGATACATGGTATGGCCACAAGTACTTTCGGCCATATGTGTAATACACTTCATCTAGTTAACTTTCAAGTTTTGAAATGATTACATACTATTAGTTTCTGCACTGTATTAGTGTTTTAGAGCATGGTTTCCAAATCTCATTACTTTAGAAGTGATTGATAGCTCTTGTTTTGGATGTTGTTTTTGACATGTGTCTGAGATTAAGTTTGCTGTTCTGAAATAATCTACTTAGAGCATGTTTTCTTTGGTAAATAAAAGTGACCTCATCTTTTTATTTCAAACATATTACATTTTTCTTACTTTTAAGTAACTATGATTTAAATTTGAAGCAAAATAAGTAACTTCTTTCCTTATTTAAACCCTAATTATTACTTTCAAGTAACCTTATAGATGAACTTAAGTGTGGCCAAACCTGCCATTAATATAAGAGGGAGGACCCTTGGCGAATAGTTATGGTTTCTAGGTGTTTCGGAACACACCAATTTCCCAGTTGAAAATGTCCATGCTTCTTACATTGGTAATTATAACTTGAAAAAACTTAAATTGGAACATTTGCATAGCACATCCAATAGGTTGCTTCTGACCTTTGAAGTCCGTCGTATAGAAGGGCAAAGCTAGGTTTAAAACTTCTAGGAATATTGGCTGAGTTGCCGTGTTATAGTGCTACTGTCTTACGTATTTGCTATTATCTTTGGAGTCACTTTGGTTAACTTTAAAACTATAATCACCGTGTTTATTATGTTGAAGTTCCACTATGAGTTAATTTATTAATTTTGACCAGATACTCTTTTTCATTACTATAACACCATCATCATGATTATATTTTTAATTTGAAAACGAAATCTTTGCTATCTTAACATATGAAACTTTTATCCTGGTCGGTAATTAATAATACTATGTAAGACCTATTGCTCGTGTAATTCAGGATCCTCATTTTGATTAACAGGCTGTGGATAGAATAACTATCTGCAAAATGTAATACATTTTTTTTGAAAGGTAATCAAGTATTTATTAATCTATGCATAATACACAAGAAGTGTGTTATCGATTTAAATCAGAAGGAATGACATAAAATTGGGCAACCCGTTAATATGTCTAGTAGCCGCAACATTGAACCAATTATACAATGTTAAGTAAAACAATTCTCTAATCTGCATTGTTGTCCATGTTTTATCATTAAACAGTTGCTGTTTCTTTTTCTCCATACACACCATACGATGCAATTCGGAATAAGGTTTCACACAAACTTGCTATTCTTATCGCGAAACTTTCTCTTCCATGCCTTTAACACGTCTTCCATACTCCTCGGCAATATCTAATCCATGTGTTGCGACGCCAGAATATCGTTCCCCAGTAAACGAATAGTATCCCAATCAAGGAACAAGTGGTCAATCGTCTTCCCATCCCACCTACGCATATAACACCACTCTGTATCATAAAACCCCTTGTTCGAAAATTACACACAGTTAACACCTTTCCTCTAACCACCTCCCATAGTAAAAATGTCACCCATGGAGGCTGTTAACATTTTCATATCATTTTCCAGGGGAATGAACTCTTCGAAGGTTCCAATAGGGATCTAAAAGTAAGTGCCAATGGAAAAACATGCCATTTCGTGTCAACCTCCATGTGCTACAATCACCCTTTTCTACCCTGATGTGTACTTCGTACAAAGATGTCAAAAGCAGCGCATAATCATCCAATTTTCAATCTTGTGAATGTCGGCCAAAGACAATGTTCTAACTAAGGCTCCCATTATATATATCTAGGGCATCATTCACCATGGCAGATGGCACCAACGCAATACGATACAAAGAAGGAAATTTCACTTTTAGTGGTTGATCTCCACACCAACAATCGTCTCAAAAACTGATGGTATTATTATTCTCCACTACAAAAGTTAATCTATTCCAAAAATCGCTCCACCCTCGCCGAATGTACAGCCACATACTCATCCCATGAAAACTATGACTTTCGACTGAGTACCATCCCCCTCTGTAACACCATATTTTGTCCCTATAATTTTTTTTCCAAAAACTCTTCCTCTCCACTTCGAAGCTAAACTTTCTGATAACACAATTTTGGTCTCTAGCTCACTATTCGACAACGATCCCTATACAGGTGGAATTGTGTCCAACGCACTTGTAGTTGTACAAAAATTGACTTTGTTCGCTTCCAATATCTCCGCATCCAGATTCTTAGTACCTGGCTCCTCTAATTTAGCCGAAGGATCTGTCTCTCAATATGATTCAATCATTAGGTTCATTTCATCCTTATCTGTTTCCTCCATCTTGACCCTATTTCCATCACAAAATAACCTCTTTAGTTCGCGTCTGAGACTCGCCACTAGGCTTATCCACCACCTGCTTATCATTAGGTTGGGCCCATATCGATGATAGCTACTTAGCATTCATATTTTCCATTGGCTTGAAACTCAACCACTCCTACCCCACACTTATGGCAATAAGTCTTCCTAGAACCCACTATAGACCCACTTTCCACTACGTAGATCAGTTCATCTAATTCTCCTTTCAACGACCGGATATGGGCCCTTAATTCGGCGTTAGGATCTCTCTCATTTTCCGCCCTTTCCTTATGCAACAACACCAGTTGATCGGCGTTTTGCGATGCCCATAGGTTTGCTGTGACTCTGGCACAAATCCTTAGTCGGCTTCTTTCTTCAGCTGTTCGACGCTTAACCTTATCTCCAGTAACAAAAGAAGCAATAACTGCCTGAAACACGTGTGAAATCGATGCCCACCCCTCTCCATTCGCACCTTTCCGATGCCTCTCTCCATACTGTGCTATCATAAAAAACCTACCACGATTGTTTGCATAGCGTTGTGCCAAGAACGCTCAAGAAGACTTATTGAACTTGGCAACGAATGCCTCCATCTTACCTGGTGCCGATTCTATGATTTTCGAGGCTTAAGGCGAACATCATAAATTGGTCTCCATAATTTTTAATATGCATGCAAAATTGTATTATAGAGTCAATAATTACCTTGTTAATTTAAAACTTAATTATAAAACAACAAATAAAAATGTATTATACAAAAAAATTATGTTATAATCAAATAACAAAGCCAACAATGTTTTAAACGATTAGTTAAATACTATTCATCTTGCAATTTTAGAGGCAAAAATATTATTGAAATTTGAATAATCTACCTGTTCAATCATTTCTTTCTAAATTGATAATATTGTTAATCAATTCGATCTTTATTGATATATAGATGATCTGAAATAAGATGAGATATGATTAAAAAAAAATTTGTTAGTAATATAAGTGTTTGAGATGTCTTCAAATATTGTAGCATTTCAATTGCTCTCATTGATTCACTTAGTATATAACACCTTAAGACTTGTAACTCATAATCTTAAATCATCTCCATTAATATTCAAACGTCAATTGTGTTTTAGATGTTTCTCAAAATTCATACAAAGCTTCAACAAATTGAAAAAAATTCACGCTTTTACCTTTCCAAATTTAATAAAAATTGAAATATTTTTTCATATTGTATAAATTGTTCAAATCGAATTTTAGAGAAGATAGAGCTTAATTAATTATAAACAAGAAATATTCAATTTTAAAAGATTCTTCAACCAATTGATTTACCCCATTATTATTACTTTTGTCAAATTGCTTTATTCAAATTATACGTTTTTATCGAAATACATCTTCAATACCCATTTTACTTGCCCTTTTTGTCAATTTATCTATAACAATACCAAATTCAATTTCTTTATAATTTTCGAGAAATTGAAAAAAATTTCTTGTAAGAGGTGGATAGTACCATCAGTATCCATGCTTTTTATTTGAAGAAATTTACTCAAAATATTGATTGCATGTAACAAACTGTAGCAGATTACCATTCTAAGCAAGAACTCAAAATTTTGAAGTTCATATGTCGCTAAGGACTTGACTTTACTCATTGTTTAAGGATCTTCGTTAATTTTTGTCATGTCAAGTAACACGTCTCTTATTTTAAACAAATAAATCGAATACTACTTATGTGATGATCTTGTTGAGTAGAATTAAGAAATCATTGCAACATGAGTTTGAGAAATCCTATTCCACTTGTCCCCATCTGTTACATTAGGACCTACTTTAGAAATGAAATTCCTACGATAAAAAAAAAAAAAATAAATAAAAATTATTAGGCCTTATTTATAAATAAATGGAATGGACCTAATTTATCAAATCTTTAATAAAAAAAAATTGTAGTGAATCTAATTTACCAAATTAAAAAAATGTAATAAACTAAAATCTGAGGCCCCTCTAATGATGGGCCCGAGGCATTGGCCTCACTCGGCTCTATGCAAAACCAGCCATGATCTTATCGGCCCCCCTCAACTTATCCAACATATTCACCATCTAAACGGCACCAAACTGGCCCATGCAAACTGCTTCCGACATCTTCTATCCCTATTCAGATAGCTTAATAATACCAGAGGCTTTAACAGACACTACAAACTCTTTCGCCTTAATTCTAAAGCTAGAACTGATGACCATAAGACCTGCTTCATAGGACTGTTTCCCATGATTTTGCGCAAATGAGCTAGCTAAAGATGGAATCGACTGTTGAAATGGCCTCGTTGTAGCGTGGGGAACCTGGACAACAGGCAGCGGTGCCACGCATCGACCTGCGCGCCAGCAGATCGGCACGTTCTTGATGCGCCGGTCCTATCTGCATTGGAACGACCTGCAAGACTGGCCGGACAGGCGCGTATGGATGGGAGATGGCCAAATCAAGGAGGTTCGACCTCGTCTTCGCCTTTCCTGGATCTATACTTGACCTTCTTCCTTCAGGAATGATGTTGCCGGAAGCCTCCATCTCCTCGCCAGCGAGTGCGCCGTTGTGTCCTCCATAGATTTGGGCAACAATGACGCTAGTGTCTCCTGTAGTAGCCGCTGCATTTTGGATAGTTTGGCTGTGTATTTGTGGCTTGAGGCTGGTAGGGTTGGGTCTTCTAATCTGGGCATGGTTGTCAGCCCCAGTGAGGCCAAGTCCGGTTGGGTTAGGTGGTGGATATTGGGTTTGGATATAACGGGAATAGCCATCACCTCTTTACCCGACAGAGGAATATTCAGGAACATATATTTAACGTAATATTACTTAACTCTGTGACATTTGCAACACTTTGCCTCCTTGATTGTTTGGTGTTCCATATGCTTATTATTATTTGTTTCATTTATATGCTTAGGGCATTCAGAGGTATGTGGGTAATATTGGATGATAGCATGTTTGGCTAAGCTTGATAAGTTAAATTTAAAAAATAAATTATTTATGGTCAATTTTTTTGGAAAAAATTATAGTACTTATTTTGCCAGTTTGGTTAGAGTTGCTTTAAAAATAGGCAACTATTTTCACTTGATAGACAGAAAAATCAATTTGCCTCCTACCTTTTGTTGTTTTCAAATTCAAGGTGGTTTAATATGCAGTAATGTTACTCACCAAAAAAAAATAAAAATGCAGTAATCTTAATACTGAACCAATTCATAATTTGCATTCGCTTGTATGGTGCTAGAATCCATCAGCAACAGCAATTCAAATTCCTTACTCCGAAGAGGTCACTCAAGATCTTAAAGGCAAACTTGCGTATCTGGTGAGTAACTTAACTTGTTTAGCGCGCATGTATAGTTCTCTAATGGATTTGGTGGTGATGTGCTAATGGAGGTGTGTTTTCAAATTTTATTGTCAGCAATCAAGAATCAGGCATACTGTGAACACGATAAAGCCATGCTTAAATGGAGAAACTGCAGTTGCTGCATTACTTGAGCTCGAAATGTTGTCAACAATGGATGTTGATGCACTCCCAAACGTTCAGAACCAACAACCACAGTAGAGGATTAAGCTCTAGTTGACAATTGAAGTGTAGATTCTTAGGAGGAAATCAAAACTATGATTAGTTTCTTTGTTTTCATTTAGATGAATCTTTTAAGCATGAATTGAATGTGAATATCCCTATTCTGTATGTACTGTGTGGCAATTAGGAAACTCTAATGTAGCTTCAAGAATCTTGTGCACTGTGAATGACACCATTTTCTCCCTAAAATCTTTTATTTCTCTAAATTTTTACGTGCCCATATTGAAGCGACATCTCTGCTCAACTTTTACCCTACCGACGGTGAAGTTTCAGCTTGATCTTCATGTATTTTTGTTCAAACTTAGTTGCATATGTTATATTTTTGTTTTAAGTTCCATCCACGTCTAATATGCAAACAAAAAATTTGACATGGCAGATAGAAAGGCTAACTTGGACATGAAAACCAGTACCGTATTAGAATAAGTTGTTTTTACATATCGAAATTATTAATGTCCTGCGGTATAACCGTATGCGTGCTTCACATACGAAGTTCAGTAACCAAAGTGAAATCTTACTTATTGAAAAAAGAAAAATTCCATAAAAATTTTAACATCAGCATATACTTAAGCGTCATCAATTTGTATAATACGATAGCATTCTCAGTGAAAATTTTGATGGTCACATGAAATCCATTTTCACCACTCTGTTGGCTCATTGCTAGATCCATCCCTACACGTATAATGCACTTGAGCAAAACCTACAAGTAATGAGATGCAAAATGAGCAATACTTTTCTCGGTGACACAGACNATCCCTACACGTATAATGCACTTGAGCAAAACCTACAAGTAATGAGATGCAAAATGAGCAATACTTTTCTCGGTGACACAGACGTTTCTATACATACATTATTAGGTAACAAAGAGCCCTTGCAAAATTAGGGTGAAATTAATCTGTAACGCATGAAAAAAATTAGACACCTCCAGTATTGTTGATGTTCTCCAGGGAAACAACAGCACCAGACTTAGTATCATCTGAGACTGCAGAATGGGACATTAGAATGTACAATACCCACAGATGAAGGCATATAAAGTAGACGACGGACCAAATCCTAGCAGTTGAGTTCCTTCTTAAAAAGACGACACCAGAAGAAAAGATTGAATCCAACTGTCGAATCAATAATCCCAACTGTTGCTGCCCGGATTGAATTTTCTGCTTAAATAAAGGCCTGAACTTTGAACTAGCGTGTTCCCACACACCGGATTCTAGATCTTCTCTTGAAGAGGTGCCCGGAAAATCAGCTGAATCCATAATCGACTTGTTTTCATCCAGTAACCTTGAAACTGCCTAAAACATTTAACCCAAACATCCAGAAAAATCAAACATTCGACGCTCAGGTTGTCATTCACAACAGTATTCAGAATCATTATATTGATTTGAATGCTGATATAGAGAGTTACCTCGATTCTGAAAAGCAGCATTGCCTTCTCTGAGGATAGTGCCTCAACCTGATGAAAGATCAAACGTTGCTTGTTCAACCAATAAACTCAGTTGTTAAATTTTTAAGGCCATGTTTGATAGCCAATTATTTTCCATGGAAAATGGAATTCGAATTCCAACTTCCACTTTTTGGCTATTTGATAGCATTTTTTTTCATGGAATTGATTTTCCCACTTTTCTTGCCATCTAGACATTTTCTATCTTTTCCTTGAAACTTAATTCCCACCAATATGGTGGGAATTGATTTTCTAGGCTACTATGTGCCTTTTTTTTTTTACAATAGAAATAAATTCTATCCCTAATTGTAAAAAAATATTTTCCTTTAATTGACAATTTTTATATAAAACAAAGTCAAACAAACACCAAAAGATAGATAATTTTTTCTTTTTTTGTTTTTTGTTTTTTTGGTTTTTTTGTTTTTAAAGCAATGGAAACAAATTTCATTCCCAATACCAGTAAATTCTATTCCTTTAATTGACAATTTTCATATAAAATAAAGCCAAATAAACGCCAAAAACACTTTTATTTCAACATTTTTCACGTGGAAAATTATACCAATCAAACACAATAATTGACAATTCCCAGTAAAATAAGTTCTAGACAATTCAATTCCCTAAAATTCGTTTTCTTTCCACCTAAATTTCCATCTTTGCAATCAAATGGACCCTAAATGTAATTTTCAAAGGCATAGTTCAGACATAAACTCAGTTCAACATGGTTGACTAAGCATAAAAGGTATACTTTTGAGTAAATAAGTACTTCTGTAATTGATCAATTGGAAATAAGTTTCTTATTTTCTCAGTAAAGTAAGAGTTATTTTCACAATAAATAACTTTACTTAAAATTATGCAAAAGGAATTTATCAAAACATGTTTGAAAACACTTTTTACGTAATTTTAAGCAAGGTCAAAGATGGTTTTAGTCTCCTTTTATTGTTAGCTGGAAGTTGAAACATGACAGAATTCTTTTGATAAATGTACGAGATCATAACATGCCAAGAATAAATTTCCTAAATACTAATCAGCTGCTACTATAAGATAAGTAATATAAAACAAACCTGTGCTTGCTTCTGAATCAAATGGTCAGTCAACTGATCAAGCCTTTGCCTGAGCTGAATTTCCACTTCAGTTGGATTCTCAATTTCCCTTTTGGCTGTTTCAATGTTGGTTTCCAGTGACTTTGTCTGCATCAGTCGAGGAAATTAGTTTCTGACAACTGCAGATTAAATAAATAGCTGGAAGTATTGTTAGTCTAGTGATGGGCATGGGGAAGCAGGGGAAAGGAAACGATGAGTGGGCAGCCACAAGATAAATGCATGCAACAAATACCTTGTACAATTCACTGAAATCTTTCATATAAGAATATGAGTCAATAATGTGCAACCAAATTAATATGAATTGACAAGTGAAATTCTTCAGTTAGTCACATGACATCATATTGGTATGCTTGTACGCTGGACTTGACCAGTTCGACTCACCATGTAGATATTTTTTATAAAACTTTCATATGAATTATTTTTATGGCTTAGAGACTCTTCAAATTCTTAGTTAAAGGCTAAATTTAATAAATT